ACTATCTCTGAGGAGGATCTTGTGACAAAATTTTGAAAAAATGAGAACTGCAAATTTCAAAGTGAGACTATCAGAGAAAAAAACGAAAGCAATATTCAAGATTTTTATTTTTAAAAAGGAAGGAAGATATGCTAAGTGGAAGATTGCTTTATGCAATGATAATCTAGATTATTCAGTAATTTAGGTGATAGAAATTTGTATGAAAACTTCCAAGAAGTAAATACAAAGGCCAGAGTAAATACATATAGAATCAGTATGATTCTCACTAGAAAACATGAACAAAATATGTTGGCTTGGTTACATCCCCTGTACTTTCCCATCTTGACCTAAATCTTCTGACTCCATATTTAATCTCAATTTCCCTTATTCAGAATTGCAAAACATATTCTCAAAGCAGGAAGGAAATGTATGCCACTATAGTTTAAAACATTACAAAGATGCAGGGATGATGATCAATGATTTATAGACTGCTTCATCAAAATTTTATTTGACAATGGAAGTTACAAACCCCTTGCTTTGATCCATTTCCCCCTGAATCATTGTAGAGTAACATGAGAATCAGCTCCAAAATTGAAAATTCTTCAAAGGATCTTCATTGCTGATGAAATTATACTTCTCTGATTTAACTCTAAGGTGGAAACTAAATTTCAGTTTGCAATGAGTAAATTGCTGAATAAGATTATGTCCGTGAATTGAGAAAGGTTTCCCACTTTAAGACATCTGTAATAATGAATAAACCAAAGTGAAGAAATTGATTTTCCAATCCCTCCTGATCGCCTCTAAACACTTGCTTGATTTAGAATTCAAAATGCCTTTTCAAGGCTTACTTACTTTGCAGGATCAACTTAAGGCCAATAAAGGCTTTAAATGCCAATAACCAGCCAACTTCCAAGAGAACAATTAATTGCATTGTATTCCCCATGCTTTAACCTACCAAAAAGCTTTAGGGAAATTGTACAATGCAGTGCATTTTTGTCAAATATTCCCTATACACTAGATTATGTAATACAACAAGCAAAACTCTACCCTATCCAATTTCTTGCAGTGAATGGTATAACCAATACAATCCAAAGGGAAAGGAAAGACAAATGATGAAAATTGTGTATGCACCATAAAGAAAAAATATTATTTATTTTGAAAATAACACTAGTGTGACCATAGTTTTATAAAATCTGGCTAATAGTGGTTGCTGGATGTAGAAAGATACGTATTTATATATGAGCTTTATTGCAACAATTGTAGGTTAAAACATTAGAGAAAGATAGAAAAATAATAAAGATGAAATCAAGTTTGCAAAAATTGATTTCATGTTCCAAGTTTATCATGTTTCATTCAAGACTGAAACTCTTGGCTTTGATTCACTCTTCTTAATATTATCAAACCAAACGAACATACAAAAGAACAAACTTGCAAACTAATCCAATAACCAAGCAAGCCAATTATCATCAATATAAAAGTACCGTAGTGAATGGTTGTTTAAAAATATTATATTATTATCTTATGTCAGATTATCACTATTAAATTCATGACGGCATCTCTTGCTTTCTCCTCTCCATCCAGCCAATGTGAAAGACTCATCAATATTGCTCACTCACCTAACTTCAGGAGGAGGAGCTAGAACTGGAAGGGCTTGGAGTCATTTGGGATAGGAGACCTAGCAAATCATAATGAATGGAAGCATCTGANGCTGATGGAACCTACCACTGCTCTGGTCATATCCTTGAATCTGCAGGCATACAAATGGAGCAACTTGTACATAGAGACCACTATTTACATTGTGAATATTACATGTATTAGATTGTTTCCATAGTGAAATATGACGGTGAGGAAGAATTGGAGATTCATGCAATTTCGAAAGACAATATACTGTAGCCGCAGACTTTTGGTGCCTCTTAAGTGCAAAGTAACTCTTGTGCTTCCCAAAATAACAGAACTGCCAATAGTTTTATTTATTTTAATCGTTTCTAGTTTTAATGGATTTTATTTGTACTAAAATACATCCTAAGAACTATCCTACATAAATTTATTTATTTATGACATTTGCATGCCGCCCACTCCCTAGGGACTCTAGGGATAAAGAGTGGATGTGAGCTTCTAGAGAGCAAAGAATTTAAAAACACAGCCTGAAATAATCTGGAATAACATTAAATTGGATAGGAAAAAAATGGTCTGGTTGAGCAAAAGACACCGTCAAAGGAAGGACATCTATATTATGCTTGTTATTATCATTTCCTGTATTCCTCCCCAGCTTATGCTTTTCTGTGACATGCGAAATCAGTCTGCTTCTGTTTTTTTCCCCCTTGCTTGCGTGCTGTTCTAACACCATCTTCTAGGCTGAAAGAGGGCTCGGTTGTGCAACCAGCACCAAAAAAAATAATTTCCAGGAAGAATTGCAAAGAACCAGGGGTTTCGTTTCCTATTTGTTGGGGAAAGTGAAGGGTAAGGGAGATTTAGAGACATGCCTTCTGTTTCCAGCTGTGCAGAATGATTTATATTGGGACTTTGATCATATTTTGACTTCAGTCCCTGAAAGTCTCAACCTAAGTGTATGTATGCATCCCCTCCCCAAATTCAACATTCCCACCATGGGAATGATAAGATCAATAGGGTAATTTAAGTTTTATGCATGAGGAATTTGGGAGCTTCTGTATCAGTATTATCCATAATGATTTTTGTACTGTGTTAATGATATAACTATATAGCTATATCTATATAAGAAGAGACAGACATCACGATCTCCGGAAGTTAAAATGTATTATCCACTTAGCTTTCGTTAGCCTCTGCTAACATCGTCAGAGTGTAGAAACTATCACTGAAGAGATTATTTGTCTTTATGCATCATTTATCAATTTGGCCATTGCATTTGTGATAGGCCCGTCCACCCGCCTCCCACCTGTAGTTAGCTCTGTCGTTTTTTGCTTCAGATATGTTAATCAATGGAGGCTTAGCTCCTGTTGCTTCCTCCCCTATTGCGCACCACTTGGCTGCTCATCCTCAGGGAATGATTCTGAGCTGTCAGATGTTGCTTTAACGGCATTCTCTCTGCCCCCTTCCCACAAACCACCGCTCCTCCGCCTCGCAGGCATATTTGATATATCAAACAGATTTATTTGTTGTTTTGCACTTGATCTTGTAATCAGCCCGGCTCATTCCTCATTTCCCATGTCTATTATGGCTTGAAGCAGCTCTGCTGGGCTCCTCAGCATTCGGCCCGGGCTGGCTATACCTCTGCAGGACAAATCTGCATGCCCAAAGGGATGTGTGTGTGCTGTTGATCTCTACTCCCCACTAGGAATCAGTCTCTGCTCATCCTGCAGGATCTTTCTCGATGCCTCAATGCTTGGTAATCTGATAGCAGGTCAATGTACCTATTGATGGAATTATTGTTGGAAAACCAGGCTTCTTTCAGTAGGTGTCCCCCTTTAGTTGCATCACTGGCAACACCTTCTACCTCTTGAAAATTGAATATATGATTGTGCTCCTTCATATGGGTCCAGATCTGGGAATCATGTTCAAGAACTCTAGTCTGTAGCTGTGTAGCCCTTTCCTCTAGATAGTTGCTTGCACAGTTACTGCAGTTAATACTGTAAACCATCAAGGATGCCTCCTCTTTGGTTAATGTTTCTTTTGGACGCATCACTCTCATTCTCAGTTGATCCAGTTTGTGCGCCACCTGACCCCATGCACTGAAGGGATGCGTGAAGCTGTTTCAGATACACCTGTATATATGGGAGCACCCTCTGTGCAGATGTTCCACTTGGACCCTCAATGGGCTGTCCGGTCCTGGGTGTAATACATCATCAGACAAAGTCCATAGAATAACTATTGAGCGTGCATATCTGATAGAGATGTGCCTGCTACTTCGCTTTGGCCATTAGTGTATTGCAGTGGGTGCCTACCCTATTGAATAATGCCCAAATGCAGCTAACTTTATGTGCAGTGGGACGGTTGCTTTTGTTGTGTAAAATNAATCTTTACTTTAGATCAACAAATGTTTCTGAAAATAAGGTACTAGTACTTCACACTATGACATGGTGCTGATAGTGTAGTGTGGGTCCTCTATATTGGCAGTGTCCTTGGTTGTTTCACTTGGCCAGAAACAATTTTACCTAAAGCACTTAAACTCCAAGAAGTGCAATTGAAAAACTGCTCAGTTCAGTGTGCCGAAAGACAAATGAAGCTCCTCATCAGGGAAACTATTAAAATTAAAATAATAATAATCATCATCATCTTAGCTAATACTGCTGTGAATTGTATTTGGCCCTGCATTCTAAAAAAGCTAAGCAAATCTACACCGATATCCCATTCCATCTCATCCCATCATTTTGTTAGCTGCCTGTCTAATTTTTGACCTGCCTCCTTATTATTTTAAGAAAAGATGCAAAGAATTCATATTGGGCACATCTGAAGGCAGGTGGCCTACCTGGGAACTAAACTATTTGACCAGTGAAATGATTAACTGTTCAATATAAATTTGTTTTAAATCAGTTTGTGACAAATGTGCAATGTGGGATTCATTTCAAAAAACTCTATAACTGTCTGTACAAAGTAGGCTAAAAATTAAAAATATATATCTTACAAATAAAACATTTAGGAATGTAGGAGTAAGTTGTAGTGATGCTATATTATTAAAGACTAAAAAGCATATCAGAGATCTAACTGTGGTTTACCTTCTCAGAAACCTTATGATACAATTAGAGGCCTGATGCTTTTTGTATTTTCAATAGACAATATAATCGATTGGGTGATAATTAGAAAATGTTATCACAAAATAATTTTAAAAGCTGATTGAAAAAAGTGTATAATATACAGTATTTGAAGGAGATAGGCATAGTACTGGCCATAATTTATAGAATAATTCATTTTAAGTATTGTAACATTGGACTTCAAATTGGCATGTTTGCCTGCAAACATTCCCCTTACTCTATTGTTGCCACATCAACTAAACATTTAACAAATACTCTGTGCCTTAAAAAAACAAATATAACATTGACAAAAGCTAAGGAGGTAAATATGAATATTATTTCAAAAATGGGAAATTGCTAATAGATCAACCAGAGGGAAATAATCACTATATATACCCTCCTGTCTATCTGTATGATACATACATACACGTACCCATATAAAATACTTTTTTTATTGAGGATATTGAGACACTTTAGAACTACCTCTGGTACGAAAAAAGACACTTGTATCCTTTTTAAAAAAAAGCCTTTTTGTAATAGGTTGCTTCTGAGTGAAGCAAAACTGGGATACATGTTTGCATTGTGCAGAGCAAAGGACACATTAAATGCGCAAAAGCATTTCAGCTTTCTGTTCATTAAACCTAAGTAGCAGCCAATGGGGAGTACTGAGGTATTGTCACTGGATTAAAAAAGGCAAGATGGCGGCCACAGCCAAAGCAATCCTCATCATTGTGCCACATTACTACAGATAGGGCACTAGGGTGGTGGATCTCCAATTTATGTAGGGTAAGACACATAGGAACTGCTAAGGGACCTACATCTCCTTGATTTTTCTGCCTAGTGAGTATAGATCCACTTTTGAGCATCCTGGAAGTTATTTTGGGCCGTGGATATTGCAGCCCAAAGTTATTAAGTGCTGTCTCCAGCTTCAGAAAGACTGAATAATGATAATTAAGTCCAATTGCTGCAAGTGACAAATGCATGTCAATGAAGCTTAACTGGTCACAATAAAATAGCTTCTTGCATCTTCGGAAAGTTTTTCAATTTCCTAACCAGCCTACAGCCTTCGGATTTTGTATTAGTTGTTAAAGTCCCATCAAAGACTAAATTAGGTCCCAACCTCATTTCCCAAGATCTACCTGTTGCAACTGAATACCTCTAGGATTCAGCAGAATACAATGGCGGCTACTAATAACCTTCTGCAATAAACCAAAGATATGGCTGCCAATTAGGCAGTGAGGCTTTTTGCTTACAAAGTGCACAAGCAGAAAGAGAAAAAAAAATGTATGATCCGTTTTTCATCCTCTTACGATCTTGGATAAATCCAAGCATTCCTTTTAAATCTCTTCATTTCATCCAATGAAAAGGCAATCTGCTGAAAATACAGCATTGACTGTTCCTTTTGGTTCCTTGGCTAAATCTGTAGATGAGTCTCCATGCACTCCGTATTATTATTTCTTTCCACAAAAATTGCTGCTTTAGCTTACTGTCCATAGCTACTACCTGGGCAGCTTCAGTATCTGAGTACCTGTAACTCATGAAATCATTTACCTTGGAATGCTGTAATGAAAGAAGTGGGGGACTTAAGAATAAAGGCAGGCCCCAGCTTAAATGTCTGAGTTTGAAGTTCAGTAATTATAAATCTTAAACAATGGACAAAACTTTTCTGAGTCTTGAGCGATTTCTATATTGGATTTTCCTGATCATCTGTCCATTTTCTATCCTTTCTAGGGATACATGTTTTAAAAGGCTTTCCGAGAAAATTCGGTAAAAAACGGTCATGTAAAGTTGCAAGAATCAAAAAGGTGTTTGTCCCAATTTAAATTGGTAGACTCTTTTGCTTGATCTTGTGGAATGTGAATTTGTCATGGGGAGAACCGTTTCATCCAGAAATTATTGTGGCTATTAAGTGAAGAGAATATGTCATAGAGTTTCTTCTGGCATTTTGATTTAGCAGGAGGAAACATGAATGATGAACAAATGCATATCGTGATGGAAGAGCAAATTATGCATTGAAGATTGAAAAAAAAACACAATCCCAATTCAGAAGCCACAATTAACACACAATACTGACTTGAATTGTTCTGATTTAGTCTGTGGTCCTACTCTGATACTCCTGGTCTCAGAAAAGACCTCTTTCAATAATTCCAGGCTTCTGTTTTAGGTAACAGACAAAAGAGGGACAAGCTGCAACTGTATTTTGATGTGACTGAACAAAGGGGGATATGCACGTTCTTCCGCTGGATGGAACTCCCCAGTACTACCATATACAGGAACACAGAGCTCTAGTAACCCTAGCAATCTATTTAGATGCTTTCTTGTTCTTCTTCCTCGGGGGCTAAAGGACTGTCACAAGATATAGTAGATGAAGTGTTTGCTTCATTCAGGGTTGAACTAAAATTGAGAAAGAAAAAGAGTGAGAATTAGGACCATTCAATTGTGGTAGACAGCTGAATGGCATGAATTTTCATCATTAGCATTCTCATCGTCACTATTATCATAGTCATTAGCATCAGAAACATCATCATCCAGCTTGATTTTGAAGCTACTGCTGCAAGATGACAGGAAAATTCAGGAAAACCTGCCCCTAATTTTGAGAAATAAATTTCCAGAAGATAATTTGGAGGATTTATTTAATGAATATATTCTTTAAGAGAAGGCATTCTGCAGGCCTTAAATTTTTTTTCAACAATATTGTTCATATTATATGTTCCTAGTCAAGAGAATAAGCAGTTGGGATGGAATAAGGTCATGCTTGGCGATACAAGTTAAAAATATTCTAACCTTGCTCTGCTGCTAGAGGCCTCCGGGGGATGGTTATTGTCTCCCTCTGGTTTAGGATCAGGCAAAGGAATGATATAATCATTGTCCACTCCATTCTGCTCCACAGCTGTATAGAGGACAGAACTTGAACTGACACTGTCATTTGCAGTGGACCTAGAAGGACTGAATTCTGTGTTTCTGGGCCTTGTACGCATAATAGCAGGGTGATCACTTTTCAAGAACTCTTCATTGACCTGTTGATACTTCTGCTCACATGCAAGGCAATGAGAATAGAGAGAATGAATGAGTACATACACCTGTTCATCTACAGAGCTCTACATTGAAAAATGGTTTTTAATTTTTTTTTTACTATAAACACTAATACACATTGACAAAAACGTACACAACACAAATAACATCGGAACTTCACGTTCCTTCTTACAGCAGATATCTATCAGTGCATCTTTATAAACACTATTTTCCTCTCAATACATCTCTATGACATTTTACACTTATAATCCTATTATTTCTTACTCTTTTGCTAACCAGTCTATGTTTGGTTATTTGTATCAGACAGTCTTTATTGTTCTTCTACTAATATATAACTATTCCTACTTTTGTAAATCCTACTTTCCTACATTCTTATCACTAATTCCTACTTCTTCTATAATATAAACTCTTTCCAAACATTTTCCAAATTCTTATTTCTTATTTCTATCATCTAACCACTTATACCATTTCCCCCAAATTAAATAGTACTCTGTTTCCCCCTTTCCTTGAATTTCCTTGTTCAATTTATCCATATCTGCGCGTTCTAAGATCTTCCGTATTATCTCATCTTCATTTGGTATTGTGTTGTTCTTCCATTTATGCGCATATGCTATTCTGGCTGCTGTAATAATATGTAGAATCAGGTATAAAGTCTCTTTATTGTATTTTATTGTGGTTATGCCTAATAAAAATGTCTCTGGTTTCTAATCTACAGTATGTGATTTCCTGTTATAGTTTCTAATCAGTTTTTGATTGTAACCCAGAATTTTTTGGCTGACTCGCATGTCCACCATGTGTGATAGTATGTCCCATATGTTTTCTCACATTTCCAACACATTGGGGATAAGTTTGAAGATATTTTTGCAAGTCTCGCAGGCAGCAGGTGAGTTCTGTTGTGAGGCTCAATGGCCCTTTGAGGACGGCTGGGGGGAAGCCAATCAGAACAGGGAAGGGACCTTGG